GGTGTACAGAAATAGAGGGAAGGATGAACTGTGTTGGAACCAGAGAGCATGCAATATATGGTAAATAAATGCTGACGAACCGGTCTTTTGAGATCGGGTGCCTTCCCAGCCTGATGTTGATCGGTAGAGGCAGCCGATATCATGCGGTTGCTTGTAATCACTTGAGTGGTCGAAGAGAGCCTTCGACGTTTTTGCTTGCTGCGCATGCCTTCAATCCCGGTGGGGACTGCAGCGTCAAGAGGCAGTCTGGAGACAGCGGCAACTGCTGCTGCCGGCAACTGAGAATTCTTTGTCTGGGAAGTGATTATGCAATGAGAAGTATGAGTCCCCATCTCGGGAAATGAACAGAGCGTTTCGGACGGCAGTGTGTTACGAGCACCCAACCGACGCACAGATCGACAACCAAATAATGAAACGTCAACTCCCAAAACTCTCAACTACCAACCTGCGAAATCCAAGCAATTATCCACTTAGCGCCAATAACGTCTAATCCAGGTGTTATAAGCCTCGGCTAACGCCGATTTGTGATGTCGACTCATATCGGGGCCTCCGAAACTGGCTATCTCGACGTGCCACAGTGAAACAATGCGCGCATCAAGTGATACGAATTTAAACTGGCCAGAAAATGCACAAATTGACTCGACATTGTCTCAACGCCATTCAGTGGGCAAGTAGTTAATCTTCACGATATTTTCGTGTCATCATTTTTAATAAAATTGCTCTTCTTTAGGTAAGTCCACTTATTTCAATTCGTAGCTATTATTTCATGGATTCATGGTATTATGAAAAATTAGGCAAATGTCAAGTTCTTACCTAAGTTAAGCATGAGGTGTTTAATGAGATTGACACTTCAGCCCATTACCTAGTGTTTTTAAATTTACCGCGATTGGCAAAATATTAGATTGCATGCTCATTTGAAAACACGGAACTACCGAGCAGTGAAATCAAAGCATTTGTCAATTTAGCGCCATTAACACCTAGTTGAGGTGCAATATGTCTCGCCTCACGTCGAGGTGTGATCTAGACCCATATTGGGGCCACCAAAACTGGCTATCTCTAGTTTGCTCAGCTCAGCACACTGAAACAACAGTGAAACAGTACATACATCAAATAATACGACGTTAAACTGGCCAGAAAATGCACAAATACTAGAGCATACCTGGTACACGCGAGTAGGTCTGGCACGGAAGCCCCCAACGCCGAGGTTAAGATGACGACGGCGGGTCGCCGCGTCATCCTAATCCGCTGTGTCGCCAGACAGGACAGTGTAATTGTAGACACTGCAAGAATCCGATGCGTTAGTCTGTCTGAGTCTGATCTGACCTAAGCGACGGAGCGACCGGTCTGCGCTCTACAACTCAGATTCACGAATCAGAATTCCGACGTGTGGCAGGTTTGCAGTCTGCATCAAATAAGACACTAACATCGGCCGGATTCGAAGCTGCCAGGGAATTACATCGCACTTGCCAGTTAATAACTCCGCAAGGATACATCCGAAACCCCAGATATCCATTGAGACATTGTACATGCAGCCCGCCATCACTTTGGGAGTTCGATAAAATCGTGACTGCATGCACGTGTTGATGTTGCGTTGGTGTTCGAATCAACTTGAGCCGAAATCAAATGCTTTAGTTCCGCTTCGTCCTTGCTCTTTCAGAAGAATATTTTTTGGTTTAAAGTCACAGTGGATGATTTTATTCCGATGCAACTTGTCAAAACAAATGAGGATGGTGTGTGCAAATTTGCGGACTGAGGGGAGAGGGAAGCCTTGGAATTTATTTCGTTTAATCATTTCGCAGATGTTCATGTTGAGCAGCTCAAACGTCATGCAAACGTGCTCACGGAAAGTGAATTGCTTTAGCAAATGCACCACGTTGCGGCTATTGTCTAAATCCTGGCCTCGAAGCAGTTCCGAAGTGCGAATCTCTCTCCTCTCATTCCGCACCATTTTTAGGCCGACAAATGTGCTGGTCATTTGGTCAAATGCCTTCACCACCTGACCGAAACTACCCTTTCCCAGATTCTTCAACACCTCGAAATTGTAGGCGACGTAGTCGTGAGGGGTGTGGATGTACGAACCTTGGTCATCGTCAAAACCGTAATTCTGTTCACTTCCGGGTACAACTTGGCGCTTATCAGCGTTGTGTCCAACAAAATAGATATTTGGGTAGTTGAGAATTTCGGTGAGCTTATGCGCGGTACGTTTATTTTTGAATTGTCTTATTGCCATTTCGGGACTGATTCCCGCTGAGGGGAGGGACTCCAACTGCTGTGTATCCCAGACGGGAGCGGCGGCGATGGTGTTTACGCTGACCCGAAGGCCAGAGGCAGCGTAATGTGAATTGGGTTCAATGGCAGCTCCAGAATTGACGCCGGCTCCGTTCCACACTTGAACCAAAGGCGAATTGGCCTCATTCCTAACAGTCGATGGTAGTGAATTCGTCAGGTTGGGCGATGATCTGAATGGGCTTCTACTAGCAGGCAAGGTCCGAGTTGGAACTTGTTTTTGATTGACCAAGTGAACCGCCGGACCCCCGTATGCGCAGTTGGCATTAAGACAAACGCCAGACTGCCCATTGTCTGAGGACTAGCTGCTGACAGATTCCGAGGCATCAGAATCTGCTTTCTGGATGTTTCCATGACAAGATGCACTAAATAAATGAAGAGTGGTGTCACTCATCAAGCACTCTCTAACCAATTGCGCAGTCAATATTAAGTATTCACAATCAACCTTTTTATAAAAGCAGACATTTATCCACCTTTATGCACATTTCGCTTGCTGTGTGTCATCGATGCATTGGGATCGAACCGATTTGCACTTAATTTCCATTATGATAGCGATAATAGCAGTTGCCAATACCAATCTGAAGTCGGTTTATAG